ACTTGAGATCCCTGACCCTTGGAAACCATGTGAGATAATGTTTGTTGTTCTTAGCTGTTATGTTTTGGAATGATTTGTTATACAGTAATAACTAATACATTAGATAATCAAGAAAGCAATCATTTTAGAAGGTCTATTTTAAAAATAATTTTTGTTTTATGGTAAACACCACTTCACTCTGAAAAGCAGGACTTTCTAGACCTAATCTATGAATACAGAAATTTCTTTCTGTGAATGTGCTGTTAAATTTCTAAGAATGAATTCTAACAGAATTTTAGAAAAGTACATGACAACTTAAAACATTCTCTAACAGGCACTTTCTGACATAACGAGAAATCATCTTATCACCATAGCATCCACACCACATTCTCTAATACTATTATTATTTTTTCTAATACTATTCTACTAAAAGCAACCAGGGCTCCACAGAGTCATGGCTAATTCTAAATCTTTCATAGGGAATGTACAAGGTGAGCTTGCTTGTTGAGCCAAAAAAACAAGAAAGCTTTCAAAGATTGATGAAGATATGTCAAAAAAAAAACAAACAAACTCAGAAGCTAGCTTGACGGACTGCTATTGACGAAAGTATAACAATTTGAGCAACAAAAAACAATAATGGTAATGGATTTATTCTATTGAATCAAAGAAAATCCTAAGTAGAGAAAGATATTTCAAGTTTCTTATCACTACTAAGGCAATCTGTTACTTAGAAATAGGTAATTAGCCCAGGCTGGTGTGGCTCAGTGGATTGAGTGCCAGCCTGAGAGGCTATAGGGTCGCCAGTTCAATTCCCAGTTGGGGCACATACCTGGGTTGCAGGCCAGGTCCCCAGTCAGGGGTGAGTGAAAGACAAGTACACAATGATGTTTCTCTTCTTCTCTTTCTCCCTTCCTTCCCCTCTTTCTTTCTTTCTTTTTAAGATTCTATTTATTTATTTTTAGAGGGGGAGGGAAGAAGAAAGAGAGAGAATATCAATGTGTGGTTGCCTCTCATGCGTTCCCTGCTGGGAATTGGCCTGCAACCCAGGCATGTGCCCTGCCTGGGAATCGAACCACGATCCTGTGGTTCGCAAGCCCACGCTCAATCCACTGAGCTACGCCAGCCAGGGCTCCTCTTTCTAAAAATAAATAAATAAAATCTTTAAAAGAAAAAGAAATTGGTAATTAAAGTAAGCATTTGTCTGACTTGTTAACAGTTAAGTAAATTTCTTTTTTCTTTTCTATATTGATTCCAGGGAGAGAAGTAGGGAAGAGAAAGAGAGGGAGAGAAACACTGGTGCAAGAGAGAAACATGGACTGGTTTCCTCTTGCATGGGCTCCAAATGGGGGCTGAAACTGCAACCCACACACAGGCCCTGACTGGGAATCGAACCCACAACCTTTGATTTGTGGAATGGCACCCAACCAACTGAGCCACGCTGGCCAGAGCTAATAGTAACTAAATTTAAAGATAACCGAAAAACCCTGTTTTTTAAATATATTTTATTGATTATGCCATTACAGTTGTCCTATTTCCCCCCTTCATTCCCCTCCACCTTGCACACCCCTCCCCAACCATTCCCCCCTTTTTGACCATGTGTCACAGGTTCTTTAGATTCTGTATTTCCCATACTATTCTTGCCCTCCCCCTATCCATTTTCTACCTACCATCTATGCTACTTATTTTCTGTACCTTCTCCCCACTTCCCCTTCTCCCACTCCCCTGTTGCTAACCCTCCATGTGATCTTCATTTCTATGGTTCTGCTCCTGATCTAGCTGTCCTCTTAGTTTGCTTTTGTTTTAGATGTGGTTCTTAATAACTGTGAGTTTGCTGTCCTTTCACTGTTCATCTCTTTTATCTTCTTTTTCTTAGATAAGTCCCTTTAACATTTCATATAATAAGGGCTTGGTGATGATGAACTCCTTGAATTTGACCTTATCTGAGAAGCATAAAGAATCCTGTTAAATAAAGAAAAATTCTATCTTTGAAGAATGAAGAATGTAACTAATGAAAACAGGAAAATAGAATTTTATGAACCTGAGTGAAGTCACTAATTCCAGCAAAGGTTACTAACTGAAGCTACAGCCATTAAGTAAATAGTTAATGGTGATAGGGAAATTCACCTGGTGCCCCAAACACCACAGATTATCTTCTAGTCTTAAGAGAAAACCCAGCCTTCTGATGCAGAGATTGGCCTGTCATGCCCTACAGCAGCAATCAACCTCAACTCACTCGGGGTGGGCCAACTAAACACCACGTTCTTCTAATGTCACAGAATGTAAAACAACACTATCATCTACAATAGGTTCCAACCAGAAATGTTTGTCTGGAAAGCCTTTAAATATAACTTCTAGTTTGTGGAAACACAGAAATAAAGAATAAAGCCAGATAACACCACAAGCAAACAAGAGAAATCCATACGGTGTGACATTCTGTGGCACAATTGAGTCAGTCCCTTCAACAACCCATTGCCATAAAAAAAGGGACAATGTTGGATTCAGTGAGGATTAGGGAACATAACGACCACATGCAACATGTGATTCTGGATTAAACACTTGTTTGAATAAACTAGCTATGTAGGGCATTTTGGGATCGATGGAGGAAATTATAACACAGATTGGGTATTAACTACGATACAAAGTTATTGAAATGAAAAGGTAGCCATTGCCAAATAAAGAAAGCAACACATAAAACAATATGTGCAATATATATCGTTTTGGACAAAAAAAATATACAAATACAGGGATACACATATATACATATACACATACAAATTCATATAGAAAATGACCCAAGTGCCATATAGACACTGAGGTATAAAAAAATGCTAGGTGATCTCTAGATGGTGGGAATGTGAAGCTATTATTTTATTTATGCTGGTTTTAATTCTCCACAATATACATATATTGCTTTTGTAATAATAAAGATTGGTTCCTCCCTGTATTTTTTTGAAGATTTTATTTATTTTTAGAGAGAGGACAAAGGAGGGAGAGAAACATCAGTTGGTTGCCTCTCGCAACCAGCCCAACACGGAATCGATCTGGCGACCCTGCACCTTGAGGGGCACTGCCCAACCGATGCCCAACCACCTGAGCCACACTAGCCAGGGAGTCATCCCTGTATTTTAAAGATGAAATACACTTAACTCACAAACTGAATCTCTATACTCAAGAACTTCCGAGATTTAAAAAATTCCTTATATCAAATTGTTCCAGCATGTGACTCTAAATAAAAACAAAACCCAATAAGAGACAATAGCCTTTAATGCTGATTCTCAATAACTTGAGAGTATGGGGGGGACCCAAAAAACCCCCAGATTATATTCTGGAGGGCCAGCCTCTTGTTATAGGCTTCCCTCTCTAGCTAAGTATTCTAGGACTTTTTTTTCCCCAGATGAAAAAATTCCTCAAAGGGAAATGTTTTCTGGTGTGGAACAGGTGAAACAAAAAACAGCAGAAGCACTAAAAGGCGTCAAAATCAGTGAGTCCAAAAACTCTTTTGAGCAGTGGAAAAAATGTCTCGACAGTTGTACTGCATCAAATGGAGAGTACTTTGAAGGTGACTGAAGTTTAAACATGTTGGAATAAATACCCAATTTTTTATTAAAAATTCCAGGGTTTTTTGGGTCCCCCTTAGTATTATCATATTTTTCATTTGGCAATTGCTGAAAGAAATGTGTAACAGAAGTAGTTTCATTTTGAATTACTTAATCATAGTAAGTGTTACGGTGGGGGGCAGAATACTGTGAGAAGGAAGGAGAATGCCATCATTCAAAGAATACATTTTTGACACTGACCAATGTCAAGAAAAATATTTTTTAAAGATGTTATTTATTTATCTTTACAGGGGAAGGGAAGGAGAGAGGGAGAGAAATATCAATGTGTGGTTGCCTCTTGTGCGTCCCCTGCTGGGAACTGACCTGCAAACCAGGCATGTGCCCTGACTGAGAATCGAACCACAATCCTTTGGTTCGCAGGCCTGTGCTCAATCCACTGAGCTACGCTAGCCAGGGCAAGAAAATTCTTATGACATGTTTCCAGCCACCCATCCATTCAAAGAAGTCCTATCTGTTAGTAAAGAACTGAGACTGGTCCTGGCCAGGTAGTCAATTAGTTAGAGCACTGTTCTGATACACCAAGGTTGCAGGTTTGATCCCTGGTCAGGGCACATATAAGAAGCAACTAATGAATGCATGAATAAGTGGAACAACAAATTGATGTTTCTCTCTCTCCCTTTCCCTCTCTCTCTAAAATCAATAATTAAAAAATAAATTAAAAACAACTGAGGTTGCTTTGATCATCAAAAAGAATGGGTTTATTAATTCAAAGCATACTGTCATAGAGTAGCATTGAATCTGTGGTGGTGGTGAACTTAATAGTAATGTACCTGATGCCCCTTCTTTTTATGAAGCTTATGTCACCAATTTTAAATAAAAGTGGACAGAAAAGGTATATCCATATATGCCAATGTCACTGTCAGAAAAATGAGAGATACAAGGTAGGTATATTATTTTCCATTTGCTGCATGACAAATGACCACAAATGTAGTGGCTTAAAACAGCACAGATTTATTAGCTAATAAACCCATCAGAACACAGCTGGATTCTCTACTCAGGGGCTCTTATGCTAAAATCAGAAGCATCAGCAAGGGCTGCAGTTCTCATACAGATTTGTAGTCCTTTTATGAGCTCACTGGTTATTGGGAGAAATCAGTTCCGCCTCACTTCAATCCAGCAACAGAACAGCAAACTCTTCTCCTGCTTTGAATTATCTCTAACTTCCCCTTCTGCACATGCTGGAGAAAGCTGTCCACTTTTACCAGTAGACTTATACCATCAGATCAGGCCCACCAGGTAATCTTCCTACCTTAAGGTCAACCATGCCACATAAAATGATACAATCACAGGATAGTATCTCATCATATTCCCAGGAATAATGGGGATAGGGGAAGGGGGAACAATTTTAGAACCGCCAACCACAGACAGAAAAAGCTCTAAAACTTAGTTTAAAAGATCTCTTACCTGTTAATGATGAACCATGCAACAGTAAGCATTCCTGCTAGCCAGGTTCCACTCATTAGCCAACTTGTAACAAACAAAGCAGTGACATATATTCCTTGCAATCCAAAAACAATACCAATATAAAAATATACTGGCTCAATAATCTCCTAATCGGAAAAAAATAGAGGAGATAACAGAACGAATCAGTAATTTTAAGGATTCATAAGTATGTGAGATAATAAATAGTACAGTCAAAAGAAAAACACATACGTTGCTACCTGTTGCTTGATATAAAGCACTGGCTATAAGTTCTGGATATAGAGACATCTGTTGCACTGCATTTATAGTCTTCAGAGATACAGTTTTGTTATTGTGTGTTAGTTCGTAAACACCTAAAGAAAGAAAAATATTTCTCTAGATTATTTACTCTGCTTTTATAACTAAACATGTTCCTCAAAAGTCATTAAATATTTAAAATTATCAAGTCAATTACCTCAAAATAACACTCTGTGCCTCATTTTCCCCATTATTTTGTTAAGTACAAGAAAGAGCAATACCTACATTCTGAGAAATCTCCACACTCAAAGGTTCCCACGTAAAAAAAAACGTTTTATTTTAAACTATTTATTAATTTTTAGAGAAAGGGGAAAGGAGGGAAAAAGGGAGAGAAACATCGATTTGAGAAAGAAAGTTGCCTCTCATGCACCCTGATGGGAGACCAAACCTGCAACCCAGGCAAGTGTCCTGACTGGGAACCAAACCAGCGACCTTCTGTTCTGTGGGATGACACCCACCCAGCTGAGCCACATCAGTCAGGGCCAATGCTTTGTTTTAGAAAAATATTGTTATTTAAAATCCAAATGTAGTTATCATACCTCTTTCAAATGAAGGTGCCTTTAACATATCTTTATAATAAGAGTAATAAATGCCACTGTCACCCTGGAATGTGATTTCCCGTTCAAGTTCCTAGAAGAAAATATAACAGTTATTGAAATACCAGTGCTCTACATTTCAACTGCTATCTTCTTCTCGCTCATCATCTAAGCTAATGCTATTTATTTACCCCTTTATTCAAAGATGTGTTTGAATTTTCCTTTATTTACTAGTGGCCATATTAATGAGGTTAAACTTTTTAATAATCTGGTAATCATTTTAATATAATACCTAAGGTTTAAAGTGAATTGTAACTCATTAAGTCATTTACATATTATATACAAAGAAAATCTAGAAGGAGATCAAAAGAAATGCCCTAAGGACAGCAAAAATAGTAAGGCAGAAAACAAAAAATAATGGTTGAGGTGTTAGAGTCCATAATAAAAAGACATGTTTAAGAAGAAAGTAGCATTTTCATTTCCCTATGTATACAGACCAGCAAGCAGTTAATTAGTACTTCTCAAGAGCAGCCAGTACTTAATCAGTACTTTTCAAATAAACTTCCAGACACAGAAATCTGAAAATCCGGAAAACTAGGCTATACAGAACCAATCATGTGAGTAGTCAAAAACATTAGGAAACCTTGTGCTTTCCTGCTGAACTGGGGTTTCATAAATCTAATCTTTTAGAGAGGTCCAAGACACCAGGGGCATAGGAGGACACTGAACTTGCCCCCTTCCACAAGCAAACTCTTAACATAGATGTATATAGAGAGTAATTATTCCTGTGAGACAACTGAGGACTGAATGCACAGCTTAACAAGAGAAAGAGATACAAGGAGAAGGCCGCGAAACCTTAAGTGCCAGTGAGCGCCACTGTTTACATCCCCCTCCACCTCCACAGACTGGGCGGGTGCCCTAGCCAGCTGCTGTGGCCTGCCTTCAAGGTCGCTGTAACATGTTTCCATCACATCATCAGGACCCACTCTGGCCTCGGACCAATGAACCTGCTCCTGCTCCACAGGACACTGCCCTGGACACCCACCGTGAGCCTCTGCTCAGTTCCTACCAGCCTGCCAAACTAGTGTGGCACACACAGGCCACTGCCACGTAAGGTCAACATGAATGGACCTACAGTACTATGCTAAGTGAAGTAAGCCAGAGGAGAAAGACAAATACTGTATGATTTAGCTCATATGTGGAATCTAAAAAAATAAATGATAGAAAAAGATAGAAACAGACCCACAGAGAACAAGAGGACGGTTGCCAAAGTGGAGAGGCGGAGGTTAGGGGATGGAATAAAATTTATGTTCGTGTATAATATTTGTAAATTAATACAAAAACAAAAGCTATAGGAGCAGTTTCCCCAAAGTCTAATCAACAGAACTTCCTAAGATATAAATGGATGCTACCTAAAAAGAGTTCTATAGCTGGATAAACTGATAAGCTGGCTATATTAAACAAAGTGAAGTGGGTTTCTTTGGAAGACTTTTCAGTTTCAGTGTATTATGCACTGTGACCAGTGAACATTTTCTCTCATTTAGACCATGTTAATCTAAACAAATTTCCTTAAAATGATTTATGAATGGAAACAGATGTTTCTAAGGTCTCAAAGACGTAAACTCTTAATCAGTGCTTCTCAAATTTAATGTGCATATGAAACTCCTAGAGATCTTATTAAAATGTAAATTCTGATTATTGAGCAGGGCTGAGACTCTGCGGTTCTGAAAAACCTCCCAGGTAATGCCAATGCTCCTGGCTCATACACCATACTTTGAAAACACAGTGCTTGGTGAATGACCTCTATATTTTCCTCTCCTTTCCTTTCTTCTCCTCCGCTCTTCCCCACCCCTCCCCTCTCCTCTGTTCCTTTCCTTCTTTCTTTCTTTTGTGTATGTGTGTCTGAAAATAAAGTAAGTTTCATTCAGGTAAAGAAAAAGAAAGAGGCCAAGGCACAGGCGCAGCTGTGAAAGAAGCAAAAATTGTGTGTCTGAGTGGAGGTGGGCCAACTCGAGAGTGACTTGCATCTCCCTCTGTATTTTTAAACCTCCAGTTGTTTCAAATTTCATGTTGCCTACACACAGAACTGCTTGGAAATATTTCATTCTATACTGATCCCAGACACTCCCTGCCTCCTCACCTCCACTTACAAATCTGTGAGGGAGATTATGTTTTGAAAACTCCCAGATGATTTTATTGTACATTCAGTACTGAGAACTACTAATAGTTAATCTGTGTAACATTTTTAAGGAAATAGGATATGCTATAGTATTCAATAATAGTTTTTGTCCAATACAGGTAATTTTTCAGTTAAATGTTTTGGTTGTATTAGGTAAATCAATGGCTTAAGAACATTCGCTTGATTACTTGCTCAAAAACAAGAACAGTTAAAGTAAGAAAGCAAAACCCTTTAGTACCAAGTGATAAAGCCATGAACTTTGTGTAATACAGACATGTATGATTATGAAGGTAAGTTGGAAACAAACTTATCAGAGGCCAAATGAATTATGAATTATAGTGACTAAAGAGTCTGTGTGGAATATACGTAATTTAAAACCAAATATTAAACATACTAGCATGAAGCATCATCTTTTATGTAAATTTTTATTAACTTTAGAGAGAGGGAGGGAGACATCAATCTGTTGTTCCACTTATTCACGTATTCATTGGTTGAGTTTTGCGTGTGCCCTGATGAAACCCACAACCTTAGCGTATGGGGATGGCGCTCTGACCAACTGAGCTACTGCGTCAGGTCAAGGTAACATTTTAATATATACTATTATGCTTGTTAATCATCCCCACCTCACCCCCCGAAAGCACTCTAATCATGCAATCTAAAAATACAGGGTCCAGCAGAAGTACCACCCGAGTGAGGTTGGTAGGGTACGTGAATATCTCACATGAGAGGGACAGCAGTTTGAACATTTCACCTTAAATGTCATATGATGTGCTTGAGTGTGATATTATGTTACAGCATCACATGCTTATGATTTTGTAATCTTTTTATTACATAAAAATATTTTTATGTAATAAAAATGGGTGATATTTGTGCATATTTTGATGTTGAAATTTTCATTGTTTCTAAAAACTAAAAAGCTGACTAAACTCCCTATCATTTTGCTGTCACCAAAAGTCCCTGATAAATGAATTGCACAAAGGGAAGCTCTCACACAGTTGCTACTCTATGGCCTTAAAATATATCCCATTAAAACTCTCCAAGTTCATACTGTGAGTGTTCTCAAAGCAGTTTTTATATTGTTTTGTTTCTAATGGCTGTAAATGAGAAGCACTTGTCACACTTATCACACACATAGCATTTGGCTCCCTGGAAAGCACATTATTTAAATTAATATTCAATACTGAAACAACTTCCATATGCTCAGAAGGCTTTCTTCTTACCTGCCTGTTGGAAAACCAGAATTTCCGCTCATGGTATGCTGACAAATAGAGAGCATACATCATACCACTAGTAACTGCAGCAAGACAGCCAATGAAAATCTTTGCAAAGCGATGACATAATACATCTGAAAAAGCATATTAAAAGCAATCAGATGTAGATGATATTTATATTTACACTCTTCTATTAAAAAAGAAAAAGTAGTCAAAAGGTGGTATGTAGCCTTGATATGATATGGTGAAAATGGCCTTCTAACTCCGTGGTCTTCCCCGCGAACCATCGCCTGAGTCTAATCCCGGGGAAAACAGCAGACAAAGTCCAGCAGGGGCCTCCTGCCACACGCCTGCCCAGCACCCCTCAGAACTGCCAAGGTCCTCCCGCTGGGGGAGAGCCTGAGAGGTTGTCACAGCCAAGAGGAGCCTAAGGAGACAGGACAACCGAATGTTATGTGGTGTCCTGAATGAGACCCTGGAACAGGAAAAGGACATGAGGTTAAAGCTAAAGAACTCTGAATAAAATATGGACTTTAGTTTAAAATAATGCATCGATATTGGTTCATTAATATTGTAGCAAGTGTACCATACTAATATTAAATAAGAAGAAAAGCTCTGTGTGTGTATGGTGGGGGTGGTAACATGGGAACTCTGTACTGTCTGCTCATTTCGTCTATAAATTGAATGTATTTTTAAAATTAAAGCCTATTAATTTAAAAAAGGAATAACTGAAATGTACTTCCAAATATCTAAAAAAAGGGTTCATTCAGAATTACTACTGATATTTTTTTCCTTATTAAGGAATAATTTACATAGTACAAACTACAGCCATTTAAAAGGTACAATTCAGTGACTTGATGATTATGTATTTAAAACATCATATACGACTGTTGTGTATATATGACAAACTCTTGATGAAATGACAATAAATGATTTGGATTTTTTATACACAGGAGGATTTGGCCCTGCTATAGCCATTAAGTACAAACACAGGCCTAAGGATCCAAAGCCCAGTGTTCTGTTACTAAATCACTGAAAGTGTATAAAAGTCAACTTGTTGACTTATTAGTTTAGTAAAACTAAAATCTCAGCTATTTTTCAGGCATGATTTTATACATGTTAGCTTGTGCAGTATACTAGAGACATTAAAGACTAGTTAGGTATGACTAACTTATTATGAATTACATTCTAAATGCTTGAAAAACACTACCTCATACATACAATATTAGTATCGGTATGATAAAATTGTTTTTACTTACTGTTTCCAATACATCTGTAAAGTATCTGACCAGGCAGACAGTAAGAGCTCAGTAAAAAACAACAGAAAACTTATTTATGGTGAAAGTTTGGCAAAAGTTTTTCAAAATTTCTAAACATGGATCTTTTCCTGTTTTTTTTAATTAAGTCTCATACAATAGCAAAATGATCCTAATTATCAGGTGCTATCAGAAAAAATATATTCAACCAAACCTCATATAGACACTCCCTGACTTACAATGTTCCTACTTACAATTTGACTTTAAAATGGTGCAAAAGTAATACGCATTCAGTAGAAACCACACCGTAAATTTTGAAACTGACGTTGTCCAGTGCGAGACATGTGGCCTCATGCTCCCTCGTGATGCTGGGCAGCGGCAGGCGCCTGCTCTCGAGGGTAAACAACCGATGCTCTACAGTGTGGTATTAAATGCATTTTCCAGTTATGGTATTTTCAACTTACGATGGGTTTATGGGATATTGCCTCATGGTAAATTGAGGAGCATCTCTGTATAAATGCCCTACTTTAACAGTAAATATTTTGTTTCTGAAAGCTTTTTGAAAGAGTAAAAGATGGAGTCAGGTTATCAGTGTTCACCATATGTGTGTATATTTTAGAGAAAGAGCTCTGGGTCCTGCAAATTATGGCCTTAAAAATTATCATTTTAATTAGAAAGCTGAAAAGTAAACAATTTGACTTCTAATTAAGTTATGCTATTCATAAACCATCCTAAATGGTTAATTTCTGTGTACTTTAGTACCTTCATTTGTAAAATGCTGAAAAGAAAAAGAACACTACATAAATATCAATAGCAATAATAAAGGGCAAAGTTAAGTAATATTTAAAGCACAGGAAAAAGCTAAAGACATGTTAAAAAAAGATATGTAGGATTCAATTTTACAAAAAATAAAAGTACATCAAAAAATATAAGTAATTCTTGCCAAAATTTTAAGAGTAGTTATATCTATTGCAATTATTCATTCACTTTTAAAATTTTATTATTGTTCAATTACAGTTGCTCTCCCCTGCCCCACCCATCCCCCACTCCCCACCCTGCTGTTCATGTCCATGGTCCCTTTATACATGGCATTCATATACTTTTTATTACACTTTTCTCTTTTCCCGTATTTTCTATCCTAAATACATTTTTGTAGACACAGTTAAAATACTATTTCATAGTAGTTATGTCTGGATTGTTTAATATTCCTTCTTATCCTGTATTTTTCCAAATGTTTTAAATAACCACTCTATTAGTCAAGCTTTGCTGAGAGAAAAAAAAGTGACCCTAAACTATCAGTGGCTTACAGAACAAAGGTTTCTTTCTCACTCTCACTACTTGTGGGTTTCAGGTCAGCTGTAACTTTCCACCCAACTCCAAGACTTCAAATTTGTTGTGCATCTTCTACGTGAAACTTCTTCAGAGTTCCAAACTGGGATCAATCCTTATTTGGGACATGCTGTTCCCATAACAGGGGAAAAGAGGAGAACTGGCAGAATCATACGACACCTCTTACAGTTTCTGGGCAGAACTTCCCAGAAGTTCCCAGAACTTCCCACTGCCACTTACTTCCCTTCTCATTCTTTTGGCCCAGACAAATCTCACTGATAAGCCTGACAATGGGGTAGGAAAATATTCTCTGCTTCAGAGAGACACTCCAAATCACATGGCAACGGGAAGGAATGTATAAGCCATTTTTAGCGAAGGGAGCACATTTCTGGGAGCAATATCACCAGGCTCAGCCTCATTAATCACAGACATTCACTTCCCTCCCAAAGGCAAAAAACATTCACTCCTTCTCCAAAAAGATACTCCCGTAAGAGCCTGCTTCCTGCATGAAGAAAGTTAGGGACTTACACATCATTTTAAGACCTGAAGAGCTGTGTATTTTTTCATCTAGGCTGGCAGTGTTTTGACAGTATGTGTCTCTCAAAAGCTCAGCTGACAATTCTCCTAGGTGTTTACCTAACTTGCAGTGGTGTCCAACCCGAGGCCCGTGGGCCACATGCAGCCCAGGATAGGTGTGAACGCAGCCCAACACGAAATTGTAAATTTACTTAAAACCTTTTTTTTGCTCATCAGTTTTCACTAGTGTTTGTGTATTTAAGGTGCTGGCCCAAGACAACTCTTGTTCCAGTATGGCTCAGAGACACCAAAAGGTTGGACACCCCTGAATGAGGCATAAAAACAGATGCCCACGAAAAGACTGTATGTTCATAGCAGTGTTTTTCATAATAGGTAAATGCTGGAAACTACTCAAATGTTCAAGAAGAAGAGAAGGGATAGGCATTTATAGCATTATGAATGAATCTCAAAATCATTATACAGGTTAACATATTAAGCTAAGTGAAAGAAGCCAGACACATGTCATATGACTCCATTATATGAAATTGTAAACATGCAAAGTTAATCAATATTGAAAAATATCAGAAGACTGGTTGTCTTGGGGGTTATAGAGGAAACCTACTGGAATAAGATACAAAGGAACTTTCTGGGATAATAGAAATGTTCTGTATCTTTTTTCAGCTGTATCCAAGTGTCAAAGCTCATTTATTTAATTAAGCACCTAAGATTCTGTGCATTTTATTGTATGTCAATTATAGCTTAATTTTTTAAATTAAATTGCTCACTTTTACAAAGATAAGAACAATTCTGTTGGCTTTATTTATTTGATCCCAGTCAACTTCATATTCCAATAACTATACCACAATTTTTTCTACATATACCTCTCGCAAGGATTTAACTACACATATTTTGAGTTTATCAAGCTTCTGTGTGACCATACCTTTGTTACTTTTCCCTGAGTGCTTTATCCAACTTATTAGAAACTACCTTAGTCCATACAAACTCTTGAGCAAACCGTGAAAACCATGCCCTTGACTCAGTCATTGCACTAGTAGTTCATCTTACACAGCCTTTGCTACTCAAAATATTTCTCAATTTTATCTTTTTACTGGTTGAAAAAGACACGTGGTTCTAACTTCAACACTACAAGTCCCAAAAATTTTGGATTCTCTTATTTTCCTTTTCATTCCTGCTTGCACGTAGGTCAAGTCTGCTCTAAATTCCTCTTTCCTGTGATCAAATGCAGCTGATAACCAAGACTCTAATAACATTCTATCTTGCAATATTGTTACCTGATAATAAAAAGTTACTATTAAGATAACTACAGGGAAGTTTTACTTGCAGGAAAGTTTATGAAATGTTTTGTCACTGCCTAATATGGACTATTATTTTTCCAGCTTCCAAAGTCTTCTCCCTGCTAGCCCCTGAACTATATCTGTAGGTGACCTACTGCCTTTATCTTATTAGAGGAAATATATACAAATGGGCCTGTATGGGCAGGAAGGAATTTGAGGAAGCTCAACTCCTAACGATGGCACATTCCCCAACGCCATCTTCAGACGTGTGCAGTTCAGGGGGACGAGGGGAAAGGAAGAACCTCTAGAGAGTGGAGCCGCAGGGAACAATAAACTGAGAAGCTACAGCCAGGAAAACGACTGGGGCCTCATCAAGGAGCAGTCCCTACCTCACAGTAAGGAGGCCTCACGTTCAGCGCGCAGGATCTCAGAACTGCTGTGGACCGGTGGCAGATGTGCACGCCCCTCTTCCTCTCCCTGAATGAAAGGCTTTTGGTTTTCCAGTCTCTGTCCAACAACATGAAATGGGAAAGGGGCGTGGGCAGTAAAGAATGAGCACAGCAGGCCTGCCACTGCTTTGCTAAGAAAGGCCTGTCTGCCCAAGCTGGGTGGCTCAGTTGGTTGGAGCATTGCCCTCTGTACCAAGAGGCTGCAGGTTCAATCCCTGGCCAGGGCACATACCTAGGTTGCAGGTTTGATTCCTGGTCGGGGCATGTATAGGAGGCAACCAATCAGTGTTTCACTCTCTCTTGTCTCTCTAAAATCAATGAACATGTATTTGGGTGAGGATTAAAAAGAAAACAAAAAAATTTCTAATTAAAGAGATCCCCATAACTTAAAAAAAAAAAGAAAGAAAATAAAGTCCTGCTTGCAAGGTAGGCTATTGGTTGGCACCTGGCAACTTGGATTTGAGAAGGAGTCCCACCATTCTCCAACGGAGAAGAGTGGTTACTCTGCCTAGCCTGTTTGTACAAACAGTGTGGTCCATGCTACTGCTTTTCTCTGGGAGGCTGGAATTTTGGTATACAGGAGGCAGAAGGTAAATGACCAGCTGCCAATAAAATCCCTGAGCAGAGTCACTAATGATCTTCCCTGGAAGACAAAACTACCAACATGGAAGTTTGAAAATATGAAAGACTTAACCACGTCCTGTGTGTCTCCATTTGGAGAGGCGTCTTGGAAGCCTGTGCCTAGTTTCTTGCAGATTTCACCACATAAACCTTTACTCTTGCTGACTTCGTTCTGTATTTGTTTAGTGTAAGAAATCGCAGCTATGGTAATAATCATAGATATGAATGACTCTATTCTGAGACCTGTGAGTCCTTCAACTAATCTCGGAACACGGAGGTGGTCTTGGGGACCCATGACACAAAACAGACAATTTGTTATTTTAATAGGTCTCTGGATCAAAGTGAGTCATCGTGAATCCTGATATAGAGAAGGAGACCTTGGGCTTCAAGACTGATATTATGACTGGATAAGTGTCTTCCTTGGGGTAGGGAAGGTGACAAATATTCTTTGTCTGAGAGAGAGAAGAAAATATTTATGACCAAAAAGACAGAATATGGTAGACTGCTATTACTGCAAACTATCTGTCCTTTCCTATAAAAGGATCCCTCATCCCTGCCCACTACCTAGTGACTTGTGATGCTTCCCTGTAGTCAAAGTATACTTACTTCTCCATTCCATTTTCTGGAGTGATTATATTACTTGCTTGGGCCAATTAAATATGAATACAAGTGTCAGTGTGCCAATTCAACAGAAACTTCAGGAGGCACTGCATGGCCCTGGCCAGTTAGCTCAGTTGGTTGGGGCATTATCTTGATGTGCCAAGGTTACTGGTTCAATCCCCAGTCAAGGCACATACAGGAATCAACCAATGAGTGCATGGATGAGTGTGGAACAAGTTGTTTCTCTCTCTCTTTCTCTCCCCCACTTCCTCTCTCTATAACATCAATAATAACTTTTTTTTTAAGTTGAACAAAAAATGTGAAGACTCTCTAGTATACCTAAAATATGCCTTCATTAAAAGAAAAAACACTTGCCCTGGCTGGTGTGGCTCAGTGGATTGAGTGCTGGTCTGCAAACCAAAGGGTCTCTGGTTCGATTCTCAGTCAGGGCACCTGCCTGGGCTGGGGCCCAGGTCCCCAGTAGGGGGCACACGGGAGGCAACCACGCACTGACGTTTCTCTCCCTCTCTCCTTCCCTTCTCCTCTCTCCAAAAAGAAATATTTTTAAATAAATAAATGTTTTTAAAAAACACTTAATTAAAAAAGAGGCCCTGCATGACTCTGCCTGCCCTCTTGCTCTTTTCCTTGGCCATAAAAAACATACGTCCTGTACAGGGGCTGCTCCTTTGAGATACACAGAGCCCCATCAGCCTGCCTGCAGCCACACACGTGGTATTAATCAGAAATAAACGTCTGCTGTAAATGAGTGAGGTTTAGAGGCTGTTCTACAGTAAACCCTAATGAAAGGTGACTGGTATCGCCACATCTTAATTAGAAACCTGTTTATGCCTTTAAAATAATAATATAAAATATATTACCCAGCACAACCGTATTTTTGCAATACCATTAAAACTCCACCCAATCAGTCTGACTTACATTTTGGAGCTCTTTCAGGAATGGGAGTGTCATCAATTTTCTCTTCTTTGGCAGAGTCTTTATTTTCTGAAGACTTTGGCTTTTTTCTTTGGCGCAGTTCTGTAGCTGGTCCTTAAAATATTTGAAAAGTTATTGCAACATGTATCACATTATTGTCTGTATCCCAAATGATTTACTTTTATTATATTAAGGCAGAAGTCACACAAAGACCAAAAATAACTTTTTCCATAATTATTTGAGCACTTGCCACAAAACTATCTTTCCTACAAACCAAAAGGCAGAACCAAACATAGGTTCTGCCTCCAGCTTGTGTTTTCAGAGTCCTATCGATAAATTAATGAAGTCTTCTCCTGAAATGACACTAATTTCAAAATATCCCAAAATAAGTAAACTCTTTTCCATAACAATTGAAAAACAAACTGTTCTATAATAAGTTAGCTCATTATTCTAGTTACCTACAAGCTACATGCATAATTCATGGGTTAACAATTTTTTTAATTAAAATATAAGATATATTCATCATAAAACTGTATTTTTTTATTGTCGACACTGTTGCTGCCCCCCCATTTCTCCCCCTTTGGTCCCCTCCACCAGCTCCCACCCCCAGCCTTCATCACAGTGTTGTCTGTGTCCATGGGCTATGCACGTGTGCATGCATGTTCTCTAATGCCTTCCAGTCCCCCCCCCCCGCCATCCTCCGTTCTGAGGTCTGTCATGTATCCAGCCTCTGGTTTTATTTTATCAGTTTATTTTATCCCTTAGATTCCACATTATACTAGGGCAAGGGAAACAAAGGAAAAAATTAAAAATGGGACCACATCCAACTAAAAATCTATGCACAGCAAAAGAAACCATCAACAAAATGAAAATGGAACTCACTGTACAGGAGAACATATTAGCCAATAATACATCTAATACGGGGCTAATTACCAAAATACATAAAGAACTTATATGGGGTGGGGGAGTAGAGAGGTGGAGGAATCAAGCAAAAGAGAGTAAGAACTCATGGCCATGGACAACAATATAGAGATTGTGGGGGGTGGGGTTGGGTAGAGGGGGAATGGGGTACAGAGGGGGGGGCTAAATGGTAATGGAAGAAAATACACAGAAAAATGAACTATTAAAAAAAAGTTTATACAACTCAACACCAGGAATACAAATAGCCCAATTTAAAAATGGGCGAAGTGCCCTGGCCTGTGCAGCTCAGTCTTTTAGAGCATCATCCCGTACACCAAAAGGTCGAGGGTTGGATTCCTGGTCAGAGCACATGCCTGGGTTGTGATTGGATCCCCAGTCAGGGCATGTACAGAACAAAAACTCATCAATGTTTCTCTCTCACATCAATATTTTTAAATTCTGTCTCTCTCTCCCTTCCCCTCTCCCTAAAATCAATAAGCATGTCTTCAGGTGAGGATTTAAAAAAATAGGCAAAGGACCTGAATAGACACTTCTCCAAAGAAGGCATACAAATGGCCAATAGACATATAAAAAAATGAACAATGTCACTAATCATCAGAGAGATGCACATTAGAACTACAGTGAGGTATCATCTCATACCTGCCATAATGGCTACCATCAATAAATCAATAAACAACAAGTGCTGGTGAGGATGTGGAGAAAAGGGAACCCTAGTGCACTGCTGGTGGAAATCCAGACTGGTGCAGCCACTGTGGAAAACGGTAGTTTCCTCAAAAAAGCTAAAAATCAAACTGCTGTTTGACCCAGCAATCCCACTTCTGGGAATGTTTAAACACCTGAGAATCCTTAAACACCATTCAGAAAGAATACATACACCACTATGTTTATAACAGCATTATTTACAATAGCCAAGATCTGGAAATAGCCCAAGTGCCCATCAGTAGATGAGTAGATAAAAAAGATATGGCACATTTACACAATTGAATACTACACAGCTCTAAAAGGAACTCTTAGCCTTTGCAACGGCAAGGATGACATGGAGATTATGCTAAGCAAAATAAACCAATCCAAGGAAGACAAATACCATATGATCTCACTCATATACTTCACTTTTTAAATGATCCTTAAAGTTCTGCAGAATTTTGCATTGCTGTGGTGTCATTATCATTCAATAGCCTTATAGGTCTAAGTATGAGAAAGTAGGTGGAGCCCTGACCAGTATGGCTCAGTTGGTTGGGCATCATCACACAAAGTGAGAGGTCACCAGTTCACTTCCCAGTCAGGGCACATGGCCAGGATGGGGCTGTGGGTTCGGTCCCTGGATGGAGTGTGTATGAAAGGTAACTAACTGACCCATGTTTCTCTCCCTCTTCCTCCCTCCCTTCCCCTCTCTCTAAAAATAAAGTTAAAAAAAAAAAAAGAAAATAGGCTTAGCCCATAAATATTCCTTTATTTGGGAAATCTCAGAAAATTTCCCAATATTAGACTATCTACCCTTGATATATCCAATACAAAAAATGTAATGCAGAAACTACCAAGCCAGTAAACTAAATCCCAAACTAAACAGAAATTTACAACATTCAATGTAACTACTTTTCCTACTTAGAATTCTCTTATGGGGTAGAGTTTGCTACTATGCAGTTATAAAGTGTCCTGTCAAGTTTATAAGGTGGTACAAGAATTTATCTCCTTCTTAGAGAAATAAAGGAGGTTTGTTTTTTTTTTCTGTGATGACTTCAGGCTATGAAATATAGACCTAAAGAGGAGTCAAAAAAAAGGAAAAATGAATCAGCTACTGTTGCTAATTAAATGGATTGTTCTCTAACTTGAGTGTAGAAAATGAATAAAATAAATGCACTTTAAAATAGCATTGAAGTAAACTTATATTTGCCACAATATCTTTAAATGCTGCCATAGTGAAAAAAATACTGTGTATTTTGTGGATTAAGTTTGACAAGTCTAATTTTTAACTATTTCTGTATTATTGTTTATTGCGTAGTCACGTTAAATAACAAAGCTACTGAATACATTAGAAAATGACATTGCCCTGGCTGGTATAGCTCAGTGGATTGAGCGTGGGCTGTGAACCAAAGGGTCGCCAGTTCAATTCCCAGTCAGGGCACATGCCTGGGTTGCGGGCCAGGTTCCCAGTGGGAGCCACATGAAAGGCAACCACACATTGATGTTTCTCTCTCTCTTTCTCCCTCCCTTCCTCTCTTTCTAAAAATAAATAAAGAAAGAAGACAATACCTGCAAAGCACTTAGTACAATGTCTGGCACATAACAAATGCTCAATAAATGTTATTAAAAAAAAAAAAAAAAAGAAAATGACATTCATAGAAAAAGCCATACTGTGAATTTTGAGTTTTTTTGCATACAATTCTGAGTCAAAAATTAATACTATATTCCTTCTTCATGATGCCCCTTTAATTTTCACCTTGTTGGGGTTAAAACAAAAATTAGAAATAGTCAACAAGAATGAAGATTTATGTAAAGCCAAATAAAGTCTTCAGATGTAAGTTATTATTTTTAATTTTATTTAGCAAGCATACAAGAAAAAAAATAACCACAAGTTTACTTAGTAGTTACACACACATGTTAAACACATTAATAGTATCAGAGTTAAAAATTTTAATTGGGTAATTCCAGAAACCAAGTTAACAGATACACTGAGGTAGTTCACAAATGAATGTGACCAATGTGTTAGGTAGGTCTTTTTTATTAGACAGAGTCTAAAAGCACACATTTAACATAAAGATAAATTGAGAAGGGGGTATTCACGTAAAAAAGTGTTCTTTACAAAAAGTTATCATTTTCCTTTTCTTTGTTTATTCTTTAAAAAATAAGTCACATTACAGGGACTTTAATAAGGTGTTCTCTGTGCACATAAATGGGTGTTTATTTGTAAAAGTACAATTTATACAAAAAATTTTCAATTTCCAAAATAATTTATGAAACAAATCTTAACAGCCATCTTTCAAGAATCTATATTAATCATAATAAAGAGCATACAAATAAATACAGTATAAAGGACCTATAATGCTTTATTTTTCTATATTCTATTCTAAAATGCCATACATTTTAGGATATTATTTAGTAGGTTTTCCAAAGGCAAAAACATTACCATATGAAATGCATGCAGTGATATAAAAACATGCCAATTTCAATGACATTAAGTTGTAAAAACAAAAAGTACAACTTGGGAAATACAGCATTCATTTAGCCAATCTCTTCAACCTGGTCCCTAAAACTAATTCCCTTGCATGTCACAAAGTAACAAATATGATTAGATGCCACTTGCACCTTATTTTCTTCATATTGACCTCATAACTTAATAACTGATAAGCAAAGCCAAGACTCTGTAAGTGGATAACAAAGGCTCAGGCAGTGGACAAACTAGGTTATTAATTCTGATAGAAAAACTCTAGCACAGAATTCAAGTTTCCTCTCCTATTTTATATTTTCAGCATGGCAAAGAAAAAGTCAAACTAAATGAAAATGACAACACAGCCACAAAAATAACTTGCCAGAATTCTGGTCCAGTGATCTGCACATGAGACAGTAGGGCTACAAAGGGCCTTGCAAATGCCTATCCAGTTTACACATAGCAATTTCCAAGAGAAGTTGCTCTATGCAAGGTTGTCACTTCTTTCTTTGCTCTACCATTTCTTTCAGGAAGTATATACGCCCTGACCCTCTATGTCATCAAGGAAGACATTTTGGGGGGAAATAAGATTCCTAAACAGTATTTACTTAAGAGAAAAACTGGGACAATGAAGAGGATCCAAGTGAACATTAATAAGCAAAAAAGGGATTTACAGAACATAGATACAAGTAAAATTAGTCTAATTTTAATACAGTGAATACAAGAGAACATATGTATTTAAAAAAGTATTATCAAATAAATGTAAAACATTCAGAATGCCTGGCACACAGACATGCTTGCTATATATATCATTACTAGAATTATTATAATAGCTGAGAATTTAATTATTCATTATTCACTATTATATCCCTGTATCTACCATAGTAGGGACCCAAATATTTATGGAACTTTAAATAGTGTTGAATAAAACTATATTTTAAATAAACTGCAATCCATTATGTTTCATATAATATGTACTTAATTGCTTTGAAATAGCTGTAATTCTACAACCAAAAATCATTTTTCACTTTTTACCACATGAGTAAATTTCACAAAACAGTATGGTTTATTTTTAACTGAATCTACATCATATCTATTTAATTAGGTATAACTATAATATCCTAAAACAATTCTTATTTTATATGATATGTAATATTAAAGACTTTTAGTACCCTGTATTAATGTTTTTAGGCTTTAACTTAGAGATTTTCAACCTTTTTCATCTCATGGCACACATAAACTAATTACTAAAATTCTGCAATACCAAAAAATGTATTTTTTGCCAATCTTACAAAAAATTAAGTATAATTTTGACCCACGCACACTGGACAGCTAATGTGTTGGCACTGCCATTTTTTTAATTTGACCATCAAAGGGAAAAGAGGTCAGTGCTCCTGACTAAATAGTCAGGTATTGTATATTTTAAAAATTCTCATACCACATCGGTTGAAAATCACTGCTTTAACTTAAGCATGGAAATATTCACGGAAAAACACACATGAGGTTATCAACCTACCCCCACAGAATTGCAATTAGTCAGAAAAAGAAAAAAAATCAAGAAATGTTTTAGATTTCCGCCAAGATGGAGGCATAGGTGGAAGCACTTCGCCTTCTCGCACAACCAAGTTTAAAAACAACGAAGTTTTAGCAACAAAAACACAGCCAAACCACAGAAAACTGAATTATACGGAAGTCTGACAATAACGAACCCTTCAGCCAAACTGGTAAGAGGGGCAGAGCCAGCAGCAGAGAGGGGCAGGAAAGATCCACAGGACCGACCGGGGCACTTGACCCAGGTGCACCAGCAGCCATGGGTGGATCCCAGGTGTGGAGTAGGGGGCAGACCCACTGAGGGCTGACCATGGTCACACATTCACACGCAGATAAACCGGTGAAGGAGCTAGCAGTGAGACAGACCTTGCAGGCCCCAGTGGTGGGAAGCAGCAGAGGGGACTGCTATTGTCCCTCTCTGACCCGCCCCCACATACAGCGTCACAAACCAGCAACCTGGGTGGCCCCACCCTGGTGAACACCTAAGGCTCCGCTCCTCATACTTAAGGAGCACGAACGATCAAAAATGGCTCAAGAAGATCTCAAAGCCCCAAAGCCCATAACTCTAAGCGACGAAGAAATAACAAAACTTTCAGATGCACAGTTCAAGACACTGGTGATCAGGATGCTCAGAGAACTGGTTGATTTTAGTTACAAATTAGAGGAACATATGAAGGCTAAACTAATTGAAATGAAGGGAAAGGCACAGGAAACCAATAGTGATGGAAAGGAAACTGGGACTCAAACCAAAGGAGTGGACCAAAAAGAGGAAAAAAATGACCAAACAGAAAAGGATGAAGAAACAAGAATTCAAAAAACTGAGGAGAGGCTTAGGAACCTTCAGAACATCTTCAAACCTTCCAACATCCGGATTATAGGGGTACTAGAAGGGGAAAAGGAACAGCCACGAGTCGAAAACTTATTTGAACAAATAATAAAGGAGAATTTCCCCAATCTGGCAACTTCCAGGAAATCCAGGAAGCTCAGAGAGTCCCAAAGAAGTTGGACCCAAGAAGGAACACACCAAGGCACATCATCATTACATTAGCCAAGATTAAAATGAAAGAGAGAATCCTAGAAGCAGCAAGAGCTAAGGGGACAGTCACCTACAAAGGAGTTCCCATCAGACTGTCAGCTGATTTCTCAAAAGAGACCTTACAGGCAAGAAGAGGCTGGAAAGAAGTATTCCAAGTCATGAAATCCAAAGACCTACAACCAAGATTGCTCTATCCAGCAAAACTTTTATTTAGAATGGAAGGACAGATAAAGTGCTTCTCAGATAAGATCAAATTCAAGGAGTTCATCATCACCAAGCCCTTATTATATGAAATGTTAAAGGGACTTACCTAAGAAAAAGAAGATAAAAAAGATGAACAGTGAAAGGACAGCAAACTCACAGTTAGTAACAACCACACCTAAAACAAAAGCAAACTAAGAGGACAGCTAGATCAGGAGCAGAACCATAGAAATGAAGATCACGTGGAGGGTTAGCAATAGGGGAGTGGGAGACGGAGAAGGTACAGAAAATAAGTAGCATAGATTGTAGGTAGAAAAAAGATAGGGGGGAGGGCAAGAATAGTATGGGAAATATAGAATCTAAAGAACTTGAGACAGGTGGTCATAAACTAAAAGGGGGGATGGAGAGGGGCAGGGTGGAGGGGAATGAAGGGGGAAAATAGAACAACTGTAATGGCATAATGAATAAAATATATTTTAAAAAGACAGACATAAAAAACTGCACAAATTGCATAATTAGGACAGAAATAGGGCTAAAGTAAAATGACACTCAGCATTTAAGAATACTTGAACTTTTGTCTTAAATACTATTGAAGATTTTTAATTTTTTTAAATTTTATTTTCCTCACTTCAACTTTTTCAAGGAATACTAATAACATGTATGGTAATAACAAAAAGACAGTAATACTTTATATTTGTTATTTTAAACTCTGCTTAAAATCTTATGCTGCTATCAGAATAAAGTTTAAACTTCTCACAAAAAAAAGAAATGTTTTAAATAATATGCTGCAACCAAAGTTAAAACCAAGGCAACAAATGGAATTACATTCTTCCTTACCAACCACATACAGTATTTTTTTAAATAATATTTTATTTATTTATCTTTAGAGGGGAAGGGAAGGAGAGAGGGAGAGAATTATCAATGTGTGGTTGCCTCTCCTGTGTCCCCTGGTGGGAACTGGCCTGTAACCCAGGCCTCTGCACTGACTGGGAATCCAACCATGATCCTTTGGTTCGCAGGCCCAGGCTCAATCCACTGAGCTACACCAGACAGGACCGGTTTTGTTTTTGAAGCTGCTTTTACCTAGAGGGTCTTCAATTTAGATCAGTTTTAACACTGAAAACTCAAGGGAGAGAAGGCAAATGTGAAGCCAATGTGAGCATAGGGACCAGACAGTTGTCGCAGAGCAGAGAACACTGCTCACAATCAACTCTTCAAAATTTGCTTTCCACTAAATATTTCTGGCTATGAAACAAAAGAAACTTAATTTCCGAGTATCACATGAATGTAAAAGAAAGACCAGGAATCTGATTATGTCACTCCCTTCTTGCACTCTTGGTTCAATAAGGCTTAAATCTAAATACAGCATATTCAAAACTACACTCAATAGGGTAGTCATATTTTCCACCAAAATGAAAACTGTTCAGTCAAGTGACACCATCATATACACCTGTTCCTGAAACTAGTACAAGTATCATGAAGTTATTATGCCATGCATGCTTCCTATAATAGCTACCACTAACTTCCTTCCAATGCCCCGTTTTTCTCTCATATCTATCATTTTGTATGAGTAAATACTGCTGAAAAGGATTAATTTCTTTGCCCTGCGGGGGCATGGAAAAGCTTTCTTCACCTCAGCTACTTTCACAATCAAGCACTCCTTCCTGGTCTCCTAATTCCCAACTACTTAGCCCTTCTACTTTTGCCATCTCCTCCTACCCTGTAAGCGAACTTGGCCTTCTTCAGTTTCTGCTAGTTCACCTCCTCCCAATTCACCCTCCCACGTTTATCCCAGATCGCTGCCTCTTTTTGCACCCTCCGCGTCGGGGTCCGCTCACCCGGTGATTTTGTCTGTATCCACAGCCCTCTAAAGAGCGCACTCGGAATGAAGCGCATCTGGTTAGACAATATCACTTTCAAGCAGGCACTCAGTGCTTAAACCTCCACCGTCTAAAACTTTGTCCCCCCCACCCGGTGCATTCGCTGCTCACAGCCTCCGCTCTCAACCACTCCAACAGCTTTTGCTTTTTCTACCCGATTCCCAACTTTCTTGCCACCTCCGCCAACAAAATTTGGGGTCATCCACTCCACTTCCTCTGAATTTCTCCAAACACCTCCCTTCTCCACCCCGCTCTCTCCCGCCAGCCCCGTGCAGCCCCCCGCACCCCAGAGGGTCCCCCTTGCGCCCCTGGCCCTCTTTCCCGCGACCTGGGGGGACAGTTGCAGCGCAGGACCCCGGCCTGTCACCTTCTTCCTCCGCCATTGTTTCTGCGGAGCCCAGGGCTTTGGCGCGGCTGGGAATCACCCGCCCTCCGCGTCGTCGAATCCCTCGGTCACCCAAAGGCCCACTCCCCGCCACCGCCGCGCCCCCACTTCCTGACCCGCCCCCCTCCAGTGTCGCCGCCAACGGCGTCCTCCCGGGCGGCCCGGGAACCAGAGTGCCGGGAATGGAGAGCGGCGGGCGCGTTAGACTGATGCGCAAGGGCCTGCGCCAGCAGGAAAGTGACTGAACGCTCGGGCACCGCCCTCGGCCGGCGTTCCCCGCCCGCTCCGGAGACGGAGGAGGCCGGTGGCCCTGCGGCAGCCCCTCCCCCTGACGTCCACACCAAGAAGACGGGAGTTCAAACGTGCTGTGACTCTTGGGATTGGACGCGGGGAGGTAGAGAATATTGTCCAGCTCACCTTCCGGATCCAGCTTTCGTCTCCGCCTCGTTTTAAAGAAAGGGAACAGGTCCTGTAGGGTGTAGGTCGTAAACGTGGTCAGAACTAAAACTGGAACCGCGGACTTCTGCCTTGTGAGCGCGGCAGAACACTCATTATGGGTTGGAACTTAGGTTTAGTAGGCCGCTTGACCACAAGAACGAAGTTTGTACTTGGACCTTAGTGTTTTTAACCATCCAAACTTGTTAACCAAGTACATTTGCATTTCGTGATATTTTTTAAAACAATACTATCGTTTATGCAGGGGGGAGGGTGCTTTTAGATATTCCACAGCAATGGAACATACTTCGAACTTGTTAAACTGTTTATGTCTTCACTTTTATTTTTTTATGATCTTCTCAAACAAATACCAGGACCTTTCCCCTAGCAGTACTTCGAAATAAATTTAGGGATTGACAAAATGCCCATTTTAGAGCAAGAGGAAAAAAAGCATAAGAAGTCACTGATGTCAAGGGATAATTCTGGATGGACCATTCTTAGCAGGCAGCAAAATTCTCCTAATAGCACCTCTGTCAAGTTAGGATATTTGGGGAGCAAGCTATCAGTTTTCAGTACTGTGCAAAAACAGTTCCAGGAACTCTTCTTTTTATGCCTCTGGTTGCCTGCGAATATGTTGTCTTGCTGTCAAGCAACATTTAACACGAGTTAGGGACACCGTGAAGTAATAGTGTCAGCGATAAAAGAAAGGGAGAAAGAGAAGAAACACCGTGGCAGTGTTTTGAGAAAATACCCCAGTTCAAAGCAGAGCAAAGAATGTATGGACGTTGAAAACTCCAAGACATGGCAGGGCCCATGTGGAAGATACCAGAGTGTCCTGCTTATCAGATAAGCTACTGCAAGAGCTCCACCTCCTGGGAGGGCAACACAGTGGCCACTGAGGACCACTATCTTCCAACTCAAGGGTCTTAAGGTGATGTCCATTCCGCCTATAGTTCCTTCATAATCACCTCAAGGTGTCTGATGGACTTAATTATAAATTTGCCTTTTCTATACAGTAATGGCTGAAGAGAAGAAATAGCTTCTCATGAAAATACGAAAAAGACAATTATTCAGTCTCAGATAGAAATCAATGGAATCGTGATTGTATTCCCTAGTAGATACATTCTTGCTTTGACCCCAAAACCTCCACATAAGGATAAGAGACTGGATCATTCTATCCCCAGACCAGTATAATTTTGATATGAGAGATATAGGCCATTTTTAAACTTAAAATATATACTTCATTCAAAAATACAGAATCCTAACTGTTCATGGCGTTGCCTTGCATTAAGCATTATAGCTGACATTTCAGTAGGCCATTCCATAATTCCAAAAGACCAACTGCTTCCATATGGTAATGCATATAGCTGGTGGACACGTGGTCAGGAGATACCTTCTGATTATAATGTGGCTACCACTGCAAACCATGGGTTTCTAGTTTCCAGTCCAAGTTCTGCAGGGTCATTTTATTACCCTTTGCCACATCTTGACCAATCCTAAACACCTCATATTTTCTCAAATGGTCTTTTATTTAAAAGAACAATATGCTTTCTGCTCTCTTTAGAAGTTTGAGGAGCCCTTCTGGATTCAGTGAATATTTTTAGGAAGTGTTATGAGATGTTCTTTAAGAAGTTAAGTCTTTAGAAAATGTAAGGAGGTGGTTGTGGTAAACTGGGTAAGAGATGAAGCTTGGCATAAGGCAGTAGAAATAAAAATGTTCAAGGAGAGTGCACTCAAAAAACGCTGGAGGTAAAAATCTACAAGTCCTGATGACAACTGGATGTAATAGATGAGTTGAAGATGATTCTTGAGGTTTCTATCTTAAAATTAATCATGTGCTTTCTCTCTGTCACAATGCATTGCCAAGGTACAAGAAGAATAGAAAGCTCCAGAGAACTTAACTACTTGAAACCAAAAAAATACAGGCAAAGGTTGTTTCAAATATATTCTGCTGTCGAAGGCTTCATCTCATCAGTAATGAGATGATTAATGTAAAATCCTTGTATAGTTCAGCTTTGCTTCTATTAAGGAATTTTGCTTCATCTTTATTATGTAATAAAACCTTAATTATTCATTGGTTAACAACACCTTTATATTATTTTTCAGTCTCCTGTGTGAAGTCTGAACCAAATGTGATTTGTCTTTGAAAAGTCATAACACCCTTACTGCCATTATATTCTGGCTTGTATTTTGGTCATGTTTTATCTTCATTCTTTCAACTCTTTGAAAACACACTGTAGGCAAGTATTTTGAGAACTGGCTTAAGTTGTTAATAATAGTAAACATTAGCTGTGGGTGCTGCTTAGAAGACAAACACGATACATTGTATACCTTCCGCTATCCATGAGAACTACCATTTGATTTGAAGCTATTTTGTCTTGGTTTGTCACTAGTTCTAATTATGACTATGGGTTAATGGGGTTTTTCCCCTATACCTTTTCTGCAAAAAGGCAGATGAAGGGTACATTGTCGATTGCTCCCACCAAGCAGGCCTCACTTGTTCCTCATTATTTGAAGCTGTGCTTCAGTGCCTCCTGAATACATTTGCCCTATTACCACACATCATAAGAGTCTGCTGTCTTCCTTTTCCACTGACTGGAAGGGCTACAATTATACAAACCAAGTCAGCCTTGGACTACATAATCTTCCCAAGTGGGTTACATTAAGCAATGTGCATTCTATTTAAATTTTTTCAATTGGGCATATTAGACATCTTAGGACATTTTTTTGTCAACCATCGGTGGCATTTTATTTAGAAGTTTCTATGTATTACATAAGTGTTAACTTCCCTTCTCTCATCATCCCCCTAAAAAAGTCAAAATGATTTTTAAAAAAACTTAACATATAAAATCTCTTAGTTTCTCTAAAGTCTTATGTTTTAAAAAAAGCTTAAGTGGTACTTCTTTATGAGAATACTGCTTTTTAAGGCGAATTCATATTCTGTTCTTATACTCACTAGATTTCTACTTGCTGGGGGGAAATGGTCAGTGCTTCTGCTTGCTTATAGTAAATTCATTTGATTATCACACAGTATCATTCCCCATTTGACACCTTCTTAGAAGGTTGACTGTTGGATGCATTTTTCATTTGCCAAAAACCCAATGAGGCTTTGCGTGAGACATTTCAGTGTCAGAAACAGCGGTGTTGGATGTTCTAGTTGGGAAGGAAAAATATGTGGAGAGATGCAGACATTCCCAGGATGAACAAAGGTAGGAAACTGAAATAGGGTGTGCAAAGGCTGATAGATACTACTTGATTTTGAATTTTGCAGTAGTCAGCCACCAAACACTGCAATGTACTGAATATAAATCTCTGTAGAAAGAAGTTTGGTTGGGCACAGCAAAATGACAGAGTTGGCTTCATTTTGTTCCAAGTGTATCAGACACACAAGAAGGAGCAGTATGGGTTGTCTGCAGTGAGCAGTAACCTGTGTATGACCATGCATGGGCATTTCTGCAAATGTTCTGTCCACTTAGGCTCCTGGAGAAAAGAAGCATCCTATTAAAACACACCTCCATCTCTAAATCACCTCCTCGGCTCCACGATTTGCCAGGCCAAAATGAAGTTTAGAGTTATGTGTCGTTCTGGGTCATCTGGAAGCTGGTTTGCTGGGACATTCCAGGAGAACTCATGTGCCCAAGGGAACAGCAACACTACCCAGAAGGGTATTGCCTCTATGATCTTCACATCATCCACAGGGCGGGCCTGGGAGTTTGTTCCCACAATTCCTACTCGATACACCATTCCTATACCCTGACACACATGGCCAAAATGGTGTGTTTGCCATCAAGCCACTGGGTGGGAGCTAGGGTCACAAAGAACCGGCTCCCATTGGTGTCTGCCCCCCCGCATTGGCCATTGTGAGAGTTCCAGCCTCTGTGGAGTTCATCTTCAAACTGCTTGCAAAAGGTAGATGTACCACTTTAACCAGTCCCTGTTGCATCACCTGCCTGGATCATGAAGTCTTTGATAGTTCTGTGGGATTTGGTACCATTGTAGTAACCTCCATGAGCTAACTCAACAAAGTTCTTACAGGTCTTTAGAGCATGCCTCCAGTACAGCCCCAACACAATGTCCCCCATGCTGGTCTGTAGTATACACTGGGCAGGGGGCGGAAGTGTGGGGGTTGGGGAGTAAGGTAGGTGAGGGGTGAGGTAGGGGTAGGGGATGGCCACTGCCATAGGAGAGCCGGTGGAATCTTTCTCCAGTCAGGACATTTTCTTAAGAAGAGTTTTTCTAGAGTTAAAACTCTTCTAGGAAAAGATTTTTAACCAAGTTTCTCATATGAAATAATACTCATAAATAAAGCAAAGCATTATTAGTACTAAGTGACCTATAGCTGAGATTTTCCAAAAGATTCTATTTTAGTAGACACTGTACTGACTTGGTACCAAGTCCTTCCTCTCTTCTTTCAGAGAGCAAGCCCTCCAAATATTTATGAAAGTGAGTTGAGTTGAATTGAATTATTTCAGAGTTGCCAGATAAAACATAAGACACTTTGCTATAAAATGTCCCATGAAACATTTCAGTCATATTTATACTAAAAATTATTTGTTATTTATCTAAAATTCCCATTTGGCGGGGTGGGATGGGAGAAATAGATAAAAAAATGTACTTGAAAAGTAACTAAATAAAATTTATTATTAAAAATAAAAA